CTTTTTTTTTTTTTTTCCTTTTTCTAAAAACTCCTTTGAAGGCTGTTCCTACTGGGAGGGAGAGCCCTTTTTAAATGTTTTTCATTAGCTCATGTGCTTTTTTTCCCCCTCTCTGCTGTATTTCTCAGCCCCAGCGAGCCAGGTATGGCCAGGGGGCTGAGTTCCAACTATTTGCAGACTAGGGCCAGCGATGTGCGTATCACACACACCCGCAGGCACGGCCCACAGGAATCGTCCGTGAGGACCCTTCCGAAGCCTCTCTTTCCTGGAGGCAAAGTCCAGGAATGTGCGTGAAGAAGGGGGGTGCCCGTTGCCTGGGTCCCCGAATCACCGCATGGGGCAGAACACAACGGCCGCTCCATCACCAAATTCACTTTACGGGGGCAAGATAATGCTATCCAGAGGGTTTATCTGTTAGCGCACCTAAGGCTGCCTTAACACACTTCCCCGCCCCCATTCACTACTCAAACCGGAACGCACGGCTCTGTTACCGAGTCTCGCTCTGGAGGACCCGGACGGGAGAGGAGTTCTCTGCGCATTCACCAAAATGTATTTCACCAGATTCTCACCGTGGCTGGGTGGCATCCCAGGACCCTGTCCAGTTCAAGGGCTCCGGTGCCCGGAAGCGGCTCTCGGCCAGGGGCGGGGAGGCATACGGAACTCCCAGGAACTGATCCACCTGCTTCCATGACGTGCCCACCTGGACGGCCCGGGACCTGCCCAGCAGCTGGCCGTGGGGGGTGATGGTCACAGAAGGTGCAGGTGTCCCAGAGCTGAGCAGAGGGTTGCCTGTCAGGAGGACAGATGGGGGGCGGGGAGGGAAGGAGACGACAGTGGGTGCTGCATTCAGACAAAACACTGCTTTCACACTGTAAAAATGCGGGTAGTTCACTCAGACCCCAACAGCCTGAGTCCAGTCAGGTTACTTTCCAATGTGAAAAAAAAAAATTAATAGCAAATACAGCTGATGTTCACGAGACACTGAATGTCTGCAGCTCACAGCACCAATCCCCTCTCTACGTGCGCTGCCTCGCTGATTCTCGCCACCGGAGGCCAGGCAGAGCTTAACCCCGGATCCGAGCCCTTCCTCAGCTCGCTGGGGCTAGACGTGAGCTATCGTTCAGGATTACTTGGATTTTTAAAAAGAACAGAGGGATACAGAACGTGCAAGGTCTGGAGTCAGGCCCCACCATCGAACACATCAGTTATTTCCGGGGCGAAATGTGTGGCTTACTCATACGAACAGGGATGAACAGAGCATCTGATTTCTTCAGTTACTCTCGGGCAGATTTGGCCACCAGAGAAGTTTGCTACAAATTCACACAGCCACAGAAAAATTGTTTTCTAAGTTTTAGAACTTCGGGATTGCAGAAATGATGCTGAGGCACCGTGGGTCCTTATTTGCATTTCACTCCTAAGAAAACAGATTTAGGGGCCAAGGGTGGGTAGCTGCCAGGACATCAAGGTGTGGGATTCAAAGCATTTCTGGCCCCCGACTGTGGCCGCTGCCAGTTCACATGGGTCCAGGGCCAGCTCGGGGGCCCCTCTCCAGGCCACTGCCCTGGCCTGCAACACCCTCTCTCCCTTCCTGTGTTCCCCACGTCCATCTGGCCCATCAGGTCAAAGTTAGCGCCACCTGCCAGCCTGCCCCACCTCCAGCACCTTCCACCCCCTCCTTGTAATGCTCACCCCCCTCTCTGCAGTCCTCGCTTATCCCCTCCACCACATTTTCTGGCATCCATTGATGGAGTCAGTCAACTTTTGTTGGGACCCTGGCTCAGGGCCAAATACCATCATCTGGGACTTGGAACAGGCCTGTGTCTGATTCCCCACAGGGCTTAGGGCCTTGCACAAAGGAAACGCTAAATGCTGGTGAAGAGATCTTCTATTTCTGTCACTGCGTGTGTGTGCGTGTGCGTGTGCGTGTGTGTGTGTACGCATGCGTGGGGCGGGGAGAGAGAAATTTCTTATTATTTCCAGCAGGTGTGTTTGCTTTGCTCAGCTCCACTGTTGGCTGATTGAGAAAAGTTTTGCTGCTTGCTCTGCGGATCAGTCTCCACATACTGTTCCCATGAGGACAGGAGAGGAAGCAGACAGACAGGACAGATGTTTACCCCTTCCTCACGAGCGGGGCGTAATGCAGAGGTTCAACTGGAGGTGACTTTGTCCCCAGGGGGCATTTGACAATATCCGGAGACATTTTTGGTTGTCCTAAGGGTCTATGAGAGATGCCAGCTGCTGACATCTAGTGAGTAGAGGTCAAGGACGCTGCTAAACATACTGCAACTTGTAGGACCGCCCCCACGGCAAAGAACAGTCTGGCCCCGGAAGTGCATGGTGCGAGGGTTGAGAAGCCCTGGGATGGCGTGTGTTCAGGACGTTCAGGCCACCGAGGAACATCGTGAGGAGGAACCAGTGGATGGTCCAAGGAGGCAGGCGGACTTGGGCTTGATGTGATGCACCAGCTACTCGGGGAAAACTTCCTAATTCTTCTGACCCTCTATCTCCCCCTGCACAAGAGGAGTGGTAGCAGTCCCTACAATACATAGATGTTGGGAATAAACAACATGATGTCTGTGGTCCTCCAAGCCCAGCGCCTGCAAGTGGCAGGGGCTCCACAGGTGTGTGAATGAATGAATTGAAGGAAGAGAGGGAGGAATGAAGGGTAGGAGGGAGTGGGAGAGAGAAAAAAGAAAAAAGAGACAGGGAGGGAGGGAGGGAGAGAGGGAGGGAGGGAGGGAAGGAAGGAAGGAAGGAAGGAAGGAAGGAAGGAATGGAAGGAGGGAGGAAGGAAGGAAGGACGGGAGGGAGGGAGGAAACCATGAGTGAAACTTTGTTAAAAAACACTGCGGTCCTAGTAAGAACTCAATGGAAACTCAGGATGGAAGCAAATGGTCACACGTTTTAACCTGGTTCTCAGCCCACAGCTCCTTCTCCCAAGACCTGCTTCAGCTGTAAATCGCAGGATCTCGGGCAAGCACTCAGGACTGAGGGTGGTAAAGCACCAGAACCTTCAGGCTCCATCCCTTTCCTTTGCAGGAAAATAGCCACATTTCACGAACGTGGCATCTCTGAAGGAGGAGCAAAGACAGAAAATATAAAAGCTAAAGACTGTTGAGGGCACGCAAGCCTGCTTTCTCACGGACACTGGTATTCAACCCTCCCTCCAGACGCTGTCCAACGAATCCCAGACGGAATGAGCTCCAACATGGGGAAAACGTTAGATGTGCAGTTCTCTCTTTTGAAATGGTTTGCAGAAAATGATGGACTCTTTCTAGAAGAGCCACATATTTAGGCCACATGACTACTTAGCTTAAGAAAACGGTCAGTAGCCGTATGTGTGCACGAGGTGTGAGTGATGCCTGTGCCGAAACACATGGGCAGGCGTCTTCAGCTGGAGGTGAGCTCTGCACACTGAATTTGCATTGCACAGAATTAACAGGGAAACAGTTTAATTTGTTTTCCAGAAGCTAAACCTCAAAGCTAGGCATCTCTCCTCAGCAGGATTACGGTGCAGATTAGCTACACTATGGGTGAGATAGACTACTGCAATCTGACCTGACTAAATAGTATAAATGTCTATGTAGGTGAGGAGACTTGAGACTAGAGGCCCAAGACCACAATATGGCAATCAAAGCCCTCCCAGGCCTGGAAAGCACCCCCAAGGTCTAAAGGCTGAGGGAGGGGAGGGGACAGAGGGAGAGGATATCACTGGATCAAGACAGGCCTGGGAACCACCAGTGCTCTAGGGCAGGGTGGGGCCAAATGCAGCTGGTGCCTGGTTTTGTAAATAAAGTTTTATTGGCACACAACCACACCCATTGATTTATGTATTTCCTGTGGCTGCTCTTCCGCTAAAGTGGCAGAGTTGAGTAGTTGGAACAGACGCGTAGAGCCTAAAATATTTATCTGGCCCTTTACAGAGAAAGTTTGCCCGTCTCTGCTCTAGAAGATAAGATGGCAGAAAAAGGCAACATTAAAAAAAAAAAAGTTATTAATTCCATCCCATAAGCAGGTCTAATGGGGGAGGTGCTTCCCCCAGATCCCCAGCTCCCACGAACCCTGTTAAAGGGTTCTTAGATGTTTCAGTTAGTGATGGATTTCTAGGTTGCTCTCCCCTTGCTGGCTTCATCCCTGTATCCCCAGCACCTAGCACAACGTCGGATATGTAACAGCACCTCACTGGATGCTTTTAAATGAAACTGAGCCACGAAAAGCTGCCCTCTCCATGGTGACTATGATTCGGTAGTGAGGCGAGGTGGTTTAGGGTGAGCAGATTGTATCTAGAGATAGGAAACCTGGTTCCAAGTTCCCATTCTGTCACAGCTGGCTGTGTGAAATCGGAGAAGTGGATTCCCTGGGCCAGAGTCTCTTGATCACTAAGATGGGATGAAAGCCTTATCTTGTTATCTCAGGATTGGTGTGAGGACCAGCTGAGATAAGGCACGGGACAGAAGTGTCTGAACTATAAAATGATCATAAATAGTAGCCCATTTGATTACTTTGCTATGAAACTCAAAGGCCAGTGGCTTCCATATCTCGGATAAATGAATAAAGGCAGCACAGAGAAGTTCTAGCTTAGAAACAGGGTTTCCAAAAAACAAACAACCCAGTGACAAAATGGGCAGAAGACATGAATAGGCACTTTTCCAAAGAAGACATCCGGATGGCCAACAGACACATGAACACATGCTCAACGTCGCTCCTCATCAGGGAAATACAAGTCAAAAGCACGAGGAGATCCCACCTCACACCTGTCAGAATGGCTAAATTAACAATGCAAGAAACAACGGGTGTTGTTGATGAGGACGAGGAGAAAGGGGACCCCTCCTGCACTGGTGGTGGGAATGCAAACTGCTGCAGCCGCTCTGGAGAACAGTATGGGGGTTCCTCAAAAAATTAAAAATAGAATTACCCTATGACCCAGCAACTGCATCGCTACGTATTTATCCAAAGGATACAAAAATGTTGATTCGAAAGGGCACATGCACCCCAGTGTTTATAGCAGCGCTATCGGCAATAGCCAGACTGTGGAGAAAGCCCAAATGTCCATCGACTGATGAATGGGTAAAAAAGATGTGGCATATATACGCAATGGAATATTACACAGCCATCAAAAAAATGAAATCTTGCCATTTGCAATGATGTGGATGGAGCTAGAATGTATTATGCTGAGCAAAATAAGTAAATCAGAGAAAGACAAATGTCATATAAACTCATTCTTAGGTGGAATTTAATAAACAAAACAGATGAACATATGGGAAGGGGGAGGGAAGAGAAGAGACGGAAACAAACCACAACAGACTCTTAACAATAGAGAACAAATTCAGGGTAGATAGAGGGAGGTGGGTGGGGGTGGGCCAGATGGGTAATGGGTACTGGGAGGGCACTTGTTATGATGAGCTCTGGGTGTTATATGTAAGTGCTGAATCACTGAATTCTACTTCTGAAACCAATGTTGCACTGTATGTTAACTAACTACAATAGAATAAAATAAAATATAATATAATAAAATAAAATAACCATAATTGTATATGTGTGTGTGTATGTATGTACGTATGTATGTACATATACATACAGGGTTTTCATCTTCCTTCAGTCCATCCCAAATGAATGCCATCTTGCCCAGGATAACTTTGGCCAATTTTTCCTTAAGAACCTCAAAAGCCACTGCCCACAAGTCACATGCTTGGACGATCCCTCCCAGCTATATCCAGGCCCTCAGAAATAGCCACAAAGACACAGGCTGGGACTTACTCAGCTTCCGGTAAATGTGGGTGGCCTCTTCACGGAGCAGAAGCCGGCAGTTCTGGGCCTGCAGGCTATGTGTGCAGATCTGAGTATCAGCATAGAATACACACCTCACAGCACCAGGTCGGGTCTGCAGAGTGGTGACGAGGCAGGCCTGGTGACGGGAACATTCTACGGAATAAGAGAAGAGTGAGGCTTGGGCCTCAGAGATAGCACCTCAGCCATTCTTCTGTTTGATCAGGCATCCAATCGTGCATCCGGGAACCCGTACATCATCTATTCATCCATCAGTCCACCCATTCATCCAGTCGTGTATCTATGAATCCGTGCACCTGTCAGTCTATCCATCTAATCATGTATGCTTCCATCCATCCATCCATCCATCCATCCATCCATCCATCCATCTATCCACCCATGCATCCATGCAACCATCTGCCCATGCCTCCATCCATCCATCCATCCATCCATCCATACATACATACATATATAATCACTTACTTATTCATTTGAACATCTACTATACATCCCTGATACTGTGCCAGGGGCTGGAAATAGAATTGTGGTGGGGATGGGGGGTAGAACCCAACTCTTCTATCGATCTATCTTCCACACAAAAATCAGGTTTGGGGTTGTTTATTTAATTCACAAATGTGCTCCTGTCATTCCCTTGTTTGAAGCAACTTCCTGGCTCCCCACTGGCTTTGGGATTAAGTCATACCAGACAAAGCTCTCCATGCTCCAGCCCTTGTCTTCCTCTTCAGCCTTATCTCCCTGTCCAGCTCCCCCATCATACCCACAATTTTCCACCAGGGATTATGTCATTTTCCATGTGCACCAGGTCCTGAACTAGAGAATTCAAATTATTCATGGCATTAAAGATTTTCAGTCCTAAGAACAGCTGTGAAAATGGTGTTGACTCATTTACTTGGGCAAGCTGTGAACTGTCTAAGGGCCTCATTCACAGCCCAGTCTGTGCTATGGCAGCACACAGAATTGTGCAGTGCACAACCTGTACATCTATACACGGCCCTTTCTGTAAGATGTGCGTATTTCTATCCAACCCTGTCGGTGAGGGGATTCATGGAATCAAAGAATTGGAGGAGTATGAATGTTATTCAACCTCAGACTCTTGCAGAAGAGAGAGTCTTTGTAGAACATTTTTATCACATGGTTATCTAGCTTTTGTTTAAATACCAGTGACCAGAAACCCTCTAAAAGAAGTATGTGTCTGTGGACAGCTCTGCCTATTAGAAGCTTCTTTATTTTGTATTGAAAAATATCTCTTGAAATTTGAGTTTTCCCCATAGGTCTTATCTTCGCCCTGTGAGCCTGGCCAGGACAAGTACATTTCTTCCTTGCCATGATGGCCCATCTATAATCTGAGGACAGCTATCCCGGCTTCTGCTCATCTCCTTTGTCTCCGGCTAGCCTCCTAGATCCTTCCTCTCATCATCTTCTGACCTGGCTCAACGTTGTTCTCTTTCTGGCCAGCTTACCCCCTTGGAGACCTTGACTATGGTCCGCCCTCCAGGAGGATAGGAGTACTATAGAGGAGGGCACACCCAGAGTCTGTCCCCAGGTTCATCCCTTCCTGCCCAGCATGCCAGGCCATCTTGGGGTCTCCCACGTGCTTTGAGGTCAGGACGTTGGCAGCGCTGTGTGAGGCCCCGTCCCAATCAACCACCCTACCTTGGAGGGAGGGAGGGGTGGGAAACTCCCCTTACCCAACAGACAGAAGTCTCTGGCATCAGAGAAGTCCCTGGTGGCGGCAGTGCTAACGTGGGCAACATCAAAGTTCCTGATGGACGGGTCGACAACTGCTGCGGAGAGGGCCAGGGACTGCCAGGAGCCCAGAGCGACTAGGAGGGAGAGCAGGGGACGTTAGTCACACGCAGCTTTCCATGTTGTGATGAGAAAGACAACGGGGTGCCACCTGGCACCCCGAAGAAGCAGCCCCAGGGCATCTTCCCTGCGGCCTCCATTCTCCTGTGACCCCGTCCCTTGATCCATGTTTCCATCTGCAGTGATTTAGTACAAGTTTTTAGGAGCCAAGTTCTATGCCCAAGTCTACGGATACGAAGATAAAACAACGACAACAAACCATGGCTGTTTCTATTAAGAAGCTCCCAGTAGAGCGCGGGAGAAGTAAAACAGAGAAGGCCAGCATCGTAACGCAGGTGTCACGACTCAACAATCAGAACGAAGCTAGGTAACAATGACAATAGCGGATGTAGGGCTTCCCAGACACGGTGTCACTTAATCCTCCCCAAGCCCTCGAATGGAGCCAAGACCACTGCCTTCATAACGGACGCTGTGGCGTGCAGCCCGGGCCACCTTTCAGGACCCAGCCTCTCATCTCCCCAGCGCTGGGAAGCTGGTGTCTGGGGGCTCTTAGCCGCATCCCCTCCAGGAACTGCCTGTGATCTAGGCGAGCCGCTGCCCCCAGGGTCAGCCTGTGTCCCCAAACTAGTCCGTGTGGGTGCGCACAGGCCCAACCCCCTGCCCCAAGATGGGATGACTCTGCAGGGCCAGCCCAGCTTCAGAGCTCACCAAGGGATCCGCGGGGCCGGGGTTTGGTCGACACAGAAGCCCTACGTCTCCCGCTGACCCCTCGCTTCCTTACAGGGGCCACGAGCCCCGCGCACAAAACATCCTGCATGCAAATCTCCATCACTGAGTTTGTTTCCTGGAAATCAGCAGCTAAAACATCCTCTTTAAAGACGAAGGAAATGAGATGCAGAGACGTTAACTGGGCTCGCCCCAGAGAGTTCCATTCTTCAGGGGTGGGGCGAGAGCGAAACCCGGGCTTTGCATGCACACAGCCCATGCCCTCCGCGGCTCCAGGGCGCTGCCTCCCGCCATCTGTACATCTGTCACACCAGCAGGGAGGGATTCAGGTGCAGCTGTCAGACATATGGCTTGGCACGGGCGAAGAGACCTGCCAGGGCAACCAGTGTCCCTGCGAGGACAGAGGTGACCCTGAACAGGGACCTGAAGCTTCCACTATGAGGGAGGACTGTGGGTCTAGGTGGATGAATGCATTTTTCTGTCCACGAAGAGCACTAAAATGGGCAAAACACTGCCTCCCAACCCAGCCCTCCGTGATCGCTGGGAGCGCTAACTCTAGCATTCTCCAGATCTGTTTGGGGGGTGCTTCACTGATCGTTAATGGAGAAAAATCTATGTGTTCATTTACTTTTCCTTTCTGTCTCTGGTTTCGTTGTCAGAAGACCACAGTGGCTCTATCCCTATAGTAAGTACTTGTGACCATTTATCTCACTTGTGCTAGAAGAAGAGTATGGCCACCTTAGGTGTAGCAATTTACAGTTTGCAAAGTGCTGTCACTTATCAGCTAAGTGCTTTAAGTGTGTGAACCCAGTGTCTCAGTTTTCCCATCTGCAAGATGTCATTGCGTCCGATTCCCACGGAGCTCCGCCTGAGTGGTGGGGTAGGGACTCCAAGGCCTCCTTCACAAATGAGGAGTCAGAAACAGAAAGGCTACGTGACTTTCTAAGTTGAACTTGACCAAGCCAGACACAGAATCAGCCCTCTTGGCTCTCGGCCAACACTCTTTCCACCCCCTCCAAGCTTCCTAAATAGCTGAGCACCTTTCCCGGAAAATTGTCCCCAGGTATGAAAAGGTCTTTCTCTCGGACAGTACCACGCTCTTAGCTATATAAGGAAGCCTGTCATTTTTATCTCGAATCTGCCTTTGACGCCCAGAGCGCTAAAATTAGAATGGTAAAACAACCTAGACCACACCTTTTTCTTCTTAATAAAAAGAAAAAAAGAAAAGAAAAAAGAGAGTAAAAGGGTTTATCCAAAGAAGTCATCAAATAATGATACGAGACTTCCGATGGACTCAGCCGGAGAAGGCGAACCCCCTCCTGGAGCTGTGGGGCCGTCCTCAGACTCCAGAGCCACGTCTTTCTGACCTTGGGACCCAGCTTCTCTGCCGCAGACCCCGGGCTCTCATTTTCTTACACGTCCTCCACGCGTTACTATTTTCATGGTCAGTACAAGTGGCGTTTTTGCAACATGACCAAACTGAGCTGCATATTTTTAGGCGGTGAGGACACTGCAATTTCACAGAAGACTTATGATGGGGTTGCAGGACCATCCTGCCAATTACGGGCTTAAAATGGAAGCCTTGGCCGCACTCCGTGTTTAGCTTGATGTCTGGGGGAAAGCGCTTAGAATTGAAGGGTAAATTTCATCTCTAAAGTGAGAGTCTGCTCATCCGTCGCCACCCCAGGGCCTGGAGCCAAGTCACTGCCACACCCTCGTCCTGTCCCCTTCCCCCCAGCTGGCGGGGACCCTAGGACGGGCGGCTGCTGTTGTGCAGAACCCAGCATCTGGGGCTCATGCATCTCATGCAAATTCCGAGAACAAGTTTTTTGTGCATGTAAACCTACGATAAAGCCTGGAAGCTGGGGGGATCTTGGAAGCATTTGGGGGGGGGGGGAGTTTACCATCAGAACCACCCAAAGGATGTTATCTGTGGCATATTGATGAGTTTCCTTCCCCCCCCACTTCTGTTTCAAATATATTTTATACACTGCAATGCCAGCATCACCTTAAAAAAAAAAAAATCTCCCCTTGAATGTGAAACGCCACATGTATCATATATTAAGTACTTACATATAAATGAATTTTGTCTGCTGGGTAACCTTTTCTTTTATTCATCTGTTTGTAAATTCTAGCCCCGCCCTCATGCTGCTTTAAGCATTTTATCACCAAAGCCTTCCCAGATTACTTTCTCTTTAAAAAATATTTCTTGGGGTGGCTCTGTTGGGCATCCGACTTCAGCTCAGGTCGTGATCTCGCAGTTTGTGGGTTCAAGCCCGTGTTGGGCTCTGTGCTGACAGCTCAGAGCCTGGAGCCTGCTTTGGATTCTGTGTCTCCCTCTCTCTCTGCTTCTCCCCTGCTCACACTCTGTCTCTCTCTCTCTCTCAAAAATAAACATTAGGGGCGCCTGGGTGGCGCAGTCGGTTAAGCGTCCGACTTCAGCCAGGTCACGATCTCGCGGTCCGTGAGTTCGAGCCCCGCGTCGGGCTCTGGGCTGATGGCTCAGAGCCTGGAGCCTGTTTCCGATTCTGTGTCTCCCTCTCTCTCTGCCCCTCCCCTGTTCATGCTCTGTCTCTTTCTGTCCCAAAAATAAATAAACGTTGAAAAAAAAAAAATTAAAAAAATAAATAAATAAATAAATAAACATTAAAAATAAGAAGAAAAAAAAATTTAAAAATCTATTTCTTGGCTATTTTTGGCTACTCATTCTACCAGATGAAATTCAAAGCCATTATATTAAGTTTCAAGAAAGCTCTTTTGGGATATTAATTGGAATGTCCTTCAAATTAAAAACGAACTTGGGAAGATTTTAGATTGTATTATGTTTAGGGTTTGATTTCATTAAGAATGGAATGGAACGTTTGCCCCATTATACAACAGTTACTGCTGGCGTAAAGGAAAGCCCTTTATTTGTGTGTGTTTATTTTCTGACAGGATCCTGAACTCCCTCAATGTAACCCGAAGACATGGTTGAAGGGCAGGCTCTCGTCCATGTGGCTACTTTGGAAATGGGGCCCAAACTGGATTGCAGATGTAGCAGTGACCTGCCTCCGGGGGTCTCTGGTTGAGCAGTCCTCTGCGGTAACCAGCTGAGTTCTAGATTTGTCCATTTATTCAACAGCCACTCGGCGGCCTCCTCCTACATTCCAGGTACTAGACCTGATAGCAAAAAGGTAGAGCCTGGAAAAATGGACTAATTAGCTAAAAAGTTTAGGATCCTTTCTCCTTTCCATCAGTAATTCTCAAACTTTGGTGAATATAAAGAACTTGGTACAAATTCCACAGCCCAGGTGCTGTCCCCACGTCAACGAGCCTTCGCCTCTGTGCTCCTTACTAGTTTTCCAGGTGAGTCTGACACACAACCAAGTTGTGAAAATTGCCTTCCTCGGTTTCTGAAATATTCTTTCTTTCTTTTTTTTTTTTTTTTTTTTTGATTTGGCCATAACTGATGGTGAAACTGCTTAGGCTGGTGAAAAGAGACAGATCTGGGATCCAATCTCACTCACCCTGCTGCTGTGTGTCCCTGGGCAAGTTCCTTAACCACTCTGAGAAACTCCATTCTTGAAAAAACCTCATGTCTTTGTCTTAAACATTGCTCTTTCTCTGAATCTCTAATAAACACAAGGCCTTCAAGAAGTGAATGGCATGTGACCACTAACATCCTGCTGTAAGTGTGCTCATCAGCCTCTTTGCTTGGAGCCCTTCTGAGTCGGCCTCAAGATACTAGTCCCTTCCCCCAGAGCAGAGGAAGGGAAGTGGGCAGAGGAAAAGACGGAGGTTGGCTCCCCTAGAATGACCGCCCAGCCTGGTAAGAACGGATGCCTCCTGGGGTACCCAGGGCTTGGCTGCCCCACAGCCCCATGGGCGTGCACTCTAGGTGTGCTAGATTCCGCTGCCCCCAGGGAAACTCCCCAGGAGCCACTACCGGGAAGGGGAGAGTACAGGGGGGTGATGAGCCTGCCCCTGAAACTGCCCGAAGCCAGACGATGAGCAAACACGTCAAGCAGCTGTAAGGAACGGTGGGCTCTGAGCGCAGGTCATGAATGAGACCTACGTGGTGAAGCTTCCGGGTTCCCTGAATTTATCCCAGATCCCCATCCAACAGCTCCGTGAATTTGGGCAGCCCACGCCTTCTCTCCGAGCCTCTGTTTCCTCCTCGGCAAACCAGGGACACCCTGAAAACCTCCTCCTAGAGCGGTAGTCAGAAATGAGCCAGGGGGGTAGGTGGCCCCCCTACTCCCCACCACGCAGGTGCAGGGGGCGGAGCTTAGTGAACGCAGCCAATCGCATC